GTGCTGGGCAGTTGGGTCGGTTGTGCAGTGCTCGTGGGGATCCCTCGTGGTGGCCGTGGGGTGCCACGTGTGTGTTCTCTGCAGCCCTGGCGCGTGGCCCTGCGTGGTGGGGGCCCACGCAGTGGTCCTGGGGAGCCGTGTGTCCCCCACGCTGAGCAGCCCTCTCTCCCTGTGCAGGGTGCACCCCCCTCGGGGCGCAGGTTGACACCAGCCCTGCCACACACATGAGTTCAGTTCTTGTCTGCACGTGAATATTACCCGCGTGGGGAGCGCGCCGCCTCGTTCCCTAGTTTGCTCCCACCTGCTCCTTAGGCTCTGTTTTCATTATTTTTGCAGATTTACGGGGAAGGGTCTGCACTGGACTGCAGGCTCCATGTGCAGAAATTGAACTTGCTGCAGGGTGAGGTGGAGGAAGCCCGGAGCTGGACACCTCGGTAGAGTCTGCCTGTTTGTTCCTTTTGATGTGCAGCAATTAGTGCGTATGTTCATGTGCTGAGAGTCCGTTACCTAAGCTGAGCTCACAGGGTGGGTTTTCTGTCCCCCTGTACAACCATGGGATGTGCCAGTCTTGTCACCAATGCTTAGAAGCTAACGGTTGAGTTTAGTATCCCACTAGTGTTTTTTTTCAGGTAAGTTTAGCTGATTAATAGTGTAAGTTAATTAGACCTTTACCCATTAAAGGAAAAGGTTTGGCTTCAAACCCTGTTTTTTGCTTTTTTGATTGTTTATATTTTTTTAATTGGCCCTTGTTTACTCCTTGGAGAGCTGACTCTGGAAGTGTCCATCTCACAGGCTGACAAGTGATATGGATAGACGTCTCAGCATCCTCAGAGAAAATACAACCTAAGCTGTTGCAAACTGTTGCTAGAGTTGTTAAATGTTGGCATTCAGGGGTTTCACCTTGAGAATCTGTGAGGAATTCCCCCTATTTTTGATAAAAGACTTACCCAAATGTTTGTACTAAGATATAATGCCTGCTGGGCAGGAAAGTCTAGGTAATGTTTCCTTGTTTATTTCAGTCCTGAGTCTGTTTACAAAGCACTTGATCTGGAACTGGTGTGATTGTCTCTACAGCTTCTTTTTACTCAAGGTTATTTTTCAGAAATCAGTCCAAACTGGTCAGATAACCTAGTTGTATATAAGGAGTGCTTCAGAGTTAAACTCTGTGTGGGAAGAAAACTTGGGTTTTGTTCCCTTGTAAAATAGAGTTGCTATTGCTATTCTCAAGGCATTCTGAAAATATTTTCCCATTTCTTGATGATCAGGATATAATTAATGATTTTCAGCTGTTGTTCTAAAGCTGTGCTTATAACTTGCCATTTCATGATCAGCAGCTTTCATCGCGCTTACTACTCTGTGTGTATAGAAGGAAACAGGACTGCCCTCTAACTACCCAGATTTTTCTGAGGTATTAGGGTAATGTATTTTGCAAATTTTTCATTTGACACCTGTTTTTGTACAGATCCCTTTTTTTTTTTCTGACATGTTTTCTATCCAAGGTCCTTTCCCTTGTATTGTGACTAGGTAATATGAAAAATACAGTTTCACCAATGTATATTCTAGAAACTTCAGTTTAAACATCTGTTTTAGGTACGTAGAAGACTCCATAGATGCCAACAAGAACAGAGCAGTCGAAAGTGAAGGCAGAAGTTTGGTCCAGCAGGTGGGTTACTACAAAGCTGAAGGAAATGCTAACACCTGGCAAGCCAGGTGGATCAGAGTGAAATCTGTGATCACTTTATGTCGGTCTGCTGAGATACTGTGTGTAGCCTGAGAGGGAATGAGGTATGTGCAGAAGCTCTCTCCTCCACTGGGATATCAAATCTGGGAATGTGATACAAGAACTCAGGCTAAACAAATTTGAGGCATCCAGCACTTAGGTTAAAGAAAAACCCTGAAACAAGAGCACTGTGTGTTGGAGAACTACTGAAAAAGAACCAATGTTGTAGGGAGGAAAGGCAGAAGTCAGTCGCTGGAGTAAATATCTGGATGAGAGCAAGGAAACTCAGGAAGATGAAGATGAGGAGGAATCAGGAGAAAGGAATCAGTTTTGCTCCTGGAGGAAGAACACTGTGGAAGGACAAAGGTACAGAAAAAAAAAAATGTTTTTTTTTCTGTGGGGTGTGGGAGGTCGTGCAGGTCTGAAAGCTGAACAAAGTACAGGCTGCAATGAGCAATCTGACCTGGCCCATGCAGGGATTCAGGGGGGGGTGAACCATTTTGCTTATTGGTAGAACCATTCTTTTTATGAACATCTTTGGTGATTTGCTAGTGATAAATTCCTAGTGGAACTAACCTGTCTGTTCTGTGAATGGTTCTTCTGGCCAGGAAACACCAGAAAAGTTTCCCCTACACTGATGTCCAGGAATTGTCAGAGGAAAATGGAGCTTTCCAGATTGCCAACCAAGCCAAAAAGGTTAAAATCTCTGAGGTATTTTAGTTGTACAAGATGGTTCCTACTAGTAAAACAAAACTATCCTTCTGCCCTCTTTTATTTATTTATTTATTCCATGATAATATTCAAATTTTCTGGCAATCTCTTCCTATGTTCTTCTATTTGAATTATGGAGGAGGAGGAGAAAATTGTGTCATGAGACTTTATGCAAAATCAATGCCACCTTGTGCAAGCCAAGTGGTTGAGCCAGATTACTGCATCCACAGAGGTGCTGCTTGTTCTTCCTTGCCTCCCTGAGCAGCACCTTTGTAGCCCGCAGCTATTAAGGTCACTGGGTTACAGGCCCTGCCCCTCAAACTGGCCTTGGTCTTCACAGCCCAGAGTTCATGAGTCCATCCAGAGCATCAGCCTCTGCTCTGCCTTAGGATGAGGTTGAAAACTTGGGTGCATTTGAAGGACAAGGATGCTGTTTCTTTGCCTGCCTCTGTGCAATTTGTAATTGAGCTCTCCTTCTTTTTATAGCGCAAGCAGTGTTCACATGCAGTGCTGAATCAAGATGATGGAGCAGCTGGCTGTGGAGACAGGATCATTCCTGCTGAGTCTGCAGTGCCCGAGGGGAGCACACAAACCCCAGCTCCTTCCATCAAGCCCTCAAAGTGGGAAAAATTTCTCTCTTTTTCTGACAACTGTAGTGAAACCACTGCCAAGGTCACCTTGCCACCACAGGAGGGCAGTAGAAAGTCGGGGCCACCCAGCACTGCAGCAGACATCTTTATGACCAGTAAATATTCCAGCGAGGCTGGAAACTTTCTACCTCCAGGCCTAGGTGACACTGAGTTCAAAAAGTGCCTTGCTAGCGCTGAGCAGCTTGCCTCGAAGCTGCCTAGCACCTCCCTGCCTGGTGCTTGCTCAAAGGATGTGGTGTTCCAAGAACCTCAAGGCCCTTTGCTAAGGGCAGGGTCTGCTGCCTTAGAGAGCCCTGCAGGAAGGGGCCCTGGGACTCACACTGCAGTGCCCATGTGCCCTCCTGCACCTGCCCTAGTTCTCTCCCCTCCTGGGCACAAGCCTGGTAGCACATTCCATAACCTCTTCTGCACGGGTGAAGAGTTTGATGATCATCTATGAAAAGCTCTGGATCTTTATCTATCTTTGCGTTCTTGGTTGCAGCTCTACAGTTCATTTTGTAGTGTTGAGTATCAAGACTGGGTTTTTAACAGAAGAGTATCATTGTTGATTTAACATTTTCAAAAGTGCAGTATTAAAGCTGTTAGTTTGTTCTACTGTTGAGAGTATGAAGAAGGGGAAGACTGGACTTTCTGGAGTAAGCATGGGATTTATGCACTGTAATCCTGCTCTGGAAACAAAGAGGGAATAGGTCAGCTTGGGTGAGAACCTTCCATCCCCTTTCATATTAGAACCAAGTATCCATTTCTGTCTAGTCCCCTTCCCCTCCCCACACATACTACCCCTTTTCTTTGCATCTCCCACAACAACTCTTATCAACTGGAACAAATAGAAGGCAAGTTTTACAGCAACACAGCCCTGGGACTAGGGACCTGAGCCCTTACTGAAGGGCTAGAAAGTGTTTTTTTTTTTAAAAAAAAAAAGTGACAGCTCAGCCCTGGTTCTGTTCCACGCTCTAACAAAGTACATATACAAATGCAGGCCTACAGTCCTGGACTGCTGCCCTTGTGTTGAGCTACTTAGTTCTTTGAATCTGTCTCTCCTGTCTTCTAGACTACAATGCAGTGAACAGAGCAACATAGCTGTGATGCTTAAATACACAGACTCATGAAGTGAGAGGCAGAAAGGTGTATTTATTGTTTTCATCCATTCTACAAGCACTTAGGAACATGAGACAGAAACCCTTAGTAGGAAGGAGGACAAACTGCCAGAGTTGTTGTACTGCTGCTTTCAGTTAGGAAGAAAGTGCTCTTTGTTACAGAGACTACTACAAGTGAGGTGGATGCTTGGAGTACTGGATGGCATCTAAGGCTGCCCCGATGTCACAGTTCTTTGTCTGCAGGAGGCGAGTGAGCCATCCACCCTCATCAGAGAAGCCCATGGAGAGCATCTGAGACAGTGATTCGATGAGGCGAGGGTCAGCTTCTGTAAAGAGAAGAACAGTTTAAAGGGTAGGACACCTCAAATATACTGGCAGACCATGGAAGGCTCCCATAGCACAGAGTAGGTAGGCTGGCCCTAGCCCAAGGAACTCTAGGGTCATTGGTAAGTGTTGAAGACAACCTCTCCTTTTTGTTCTGGAAGGGGAAGATTGAGACAAAAAAAAGCAACCTGCTAAGTTAACTGCTGAGTCAAAGTCAACTTTGTCACAGGGCTTTACTGTTGACTTCAGCTAAGGGGCCTAAAAAACACACTCTACACTCTTAGGTCATAGGATGTACTGATGTAATGTGTCCTTGTAAGTGATCTCCTTTAGAGCATACAGCAAGGACATGATTTAGAATACTGCCTTTTTTCATGCTGGTTGGATACAGTACCACTCTAAGCAGTCAGAAGTATGTCAAGATTTGGCTCATGTTATAGGGGAAGATCACCCTATGCAGTCAGGCCACACCCTGGCCTGATTGCAAGATCATGGACAAGTTTAGTTTTAACTTTATGAGCTTGGTTTAACACCTCTAAGCAGCTCATTCTTAGGCTGGGCAAGCTGACAGCTCCTGAGTTGAAGTTACTCAGCTATGAAGCCTGCATGCATCTCCGTACCTGGTGGGAGATGCGGGTAGAGCGCAGCCTCTCGCAACCCTGTAGGTCCTGTTTGGGCAGGACCCTGAGACGGGTCCAGGGAGCTGGGACCCTCTGTCTCTGGCATTTGTAGAGACTGCAGTTCACCTGTGGAGGGATCCACTTCTTTGGAAGACAAGTGGGTCCAGTCCTCATCACCACCTGACGAACTGCTAGACTCGCTGTGTTCCTGAAATGGCAAGAAAAAAGATCCAGGTGTTTCAGCATTTTCCAGGTAGGATGCATGTTTCTACTATTTGTCTTTACATTAAAGAGTTACACCCACAAGAAGTCCCAACACAAACAGTGAAATACTCTAAAGCAGAAAGTTACTGTCAATCACTTAATAGGCTGAGATCTTCATATTCCATTTCACAGTGCACAGCATATTAATGTAATAGTTCTTGTACCTGGGACTGGAGGCCGCCTTCTTCCATTTGTGTGGGCAGAGGATCTATCACCATGTCTTGAATCTGCTCTGTCACAGCATTTACTTCTGTAGCACGATCTGTGCTATTCCACTCTGGTCTGGTCTCAGTGTTCTGGTTAACAGTAGAGCTGCTGGTCCCAGCACTGGCATTCTCTTGCTGGGAAGGAGCAGGAGTCACTTTGCTTCTCTGTCCTCCATGTTCCACATCAATATCAACTTCAATACCTAAAAAGCATTTGAGATCAAGAATATTGCAGATTTTTTTTCCTAAGCAAAACCCTGAAAGAGCCTTTGTTAATCCTGATCTAGACTCATTAGTGTTTCTGTAAACCTATGGTTTATGGAACCCGCCAGAATTAAGTGTAAAGCAAATTTAAAATAAAAATGCTAGCTCTCTTCCTCTTGAGACAGCTACTCCACACAGAGGGTAGGTTGTGCCCTTCTAAGCAGAAGCTGGGCACATTCATATGAGGAAAGCAAAACCCCAAGTCATCATGGACTTTATCAGTCATAACAGGTTAAGTATTTCCTTCTTTTCTTCCAAATGGGGACTCTGGAAGGGTGTTCACTGGGTGTTCTCACCCTAGGCATTTTTAGTACAGGGAGTAAACTAAGGCTTTCACGCTTGGTAGCATGAGGTGGTTCAGGTAACAGCCACAACAGGTCACTGCTCCTGTTAAGAGGAGCTACACAGAGCCAGTCTCAGGGATGGGAATGGACAAACCAGAAGTCACTTACCCAGGGGGCTCAGAAAAGCTGCAACACTCTCCCCAACATTCTTTAAGAAGGTGACATTGGGGTCCTGAGGCTGGCTGTTAGTAGAAGCTTCTAGAAAAACAATTTCTGTTAGCACCCACCAACTCAGGGGGGAGATGGCATCTATAGAGTATATATCTAGAGAGATATGGGTATACACTTTCTATTGTTTATCTACTGCACAAAAAAGGGCAGTATAGAACCTTAACCAACTCTGAGCTAGCTCTTGAGCACAGGACCAATGACACTAGTGTTGTTAAGGCTCACTAGCCACACTGCAAGAGGCACATCTAGAGTAGATAGTGATGAGCTTCATCTAGCACAGCCCTCCTTGATTTAAGTACTAGCTCTGTATCCTCCTATCACACAGGCCTGAGCAACCTTAACACATGAAAAGGCTAGTTATTTTTAAGGTAGATTAGTTTCAGTATTTTTCCACTGAAACTTCCTAATTCCACACCATACTGCAGAAGCCTCAGCTACTCTGGCTCTGCCACCAGCACCTTTTTTACCAGAGCACCTCCTCTTACCTTGCTCAGTAGGTGGAGCAGAGGCTGCAGCACTCGCCTGAGCTTGCTCAGAGTTTTGACAAGGAGCTGGAGGGACAGGATATCCCCAGCGGTGCATCCATGGAAAGGGTGGGACACCATGCCTCATCTTACGGAGCCAACGTCCTCGGGGCAGCCACTGGAAAGAAGTTATGTTCACGTGACTGTGCTCATGCAAACAGTTTCTGAGAACTGAAGCTAAAGGTGCGGGTTTTGTTTAGCAGCTTTCATGGAAAATCCTGTTTTAATCTCCCTCCACAGCAGTGGGATTTGGCTCACCTCAAATGGATTTAGCAGCGGACTTTGAAACATCACCATGTTGTGCTCCTTGTGGATGCCCTTATTCTCACAGGTGCTGCACAAGTCGTAGTCTGGGCAGACAGTGCACTTGAACCTCGCACCCACCACGGGTCCATCGCAACCGTCGCAGATCACGTTGGGGTGCACCATGTCCCGGGGAGGCTCCTGGCTGCACGGTGCGCGATGCTCCCGCTTGCACTCCTTTTTCTCTATTAAGGAAAGGAAACTGTGTCTAGAACCAGGTTACTATTTAAAGGCTGGAAATCAGGCAGGGGCGAGGGAAACAAACAGCACTTGTTACAGCAGTATTGACTTACTAGGGCAGTTTATTTTTACGCTGGCTGCCAAACTCAAGCTGGGGATATGTAAGAGAACCTGAACCAAGTGTGAAGTGGGTTCACTAGGCTACCTGCTGCTCGCGCCGAGCATGCCTCACCCTTAACAGATTCTTTTTCCATGCTTGTATTAGATTAATAGCACACTGCCCCATTTGCCTTCTTGTCTATGCAGTGCCCAGGCAGGTGAGACAAAAAGCTCCCAAGAGAGAGCTAAGAAGTGCCAGGAGGCCTCACAGATGTGAACGGGGACAGCAGCAGTGGCTGCTGTGGCTCACAGGGCTGCAGACAGAGCTTGGTAGGTATCTAAAGCTGCACAGAGCAGTAGGCAAGAACCAAGCACTGATGGATAGGCTGAAATTTGGGCTTCTTGACAGATGGTTGTAAATATTAAGAGATCTGTCACATGTTGCCAGGTAGCCACAAGCAATAAAACAGCTTTTTTTTGGTAAGCTGGGCCTACACCACCAGGTGAAAGCCATCAATTCGGCCCCTTTACCTCAGCAGGGAGGGCTCCCGCTGTGCCCTTCACCCAGCCCCGGGGTCGGGCAGGGGCACCCTTGGCATTACCTTTGATGTAGACGCGCAGGACGCCGTCCTGGACGTAGGGCAGGGCCAGCTCCAGCTCCTCGTCGCTGGAGAAGGCAATCAGGTCGCCGTCCTCATCTGGGGAACACAGAGACCCGCACTGAGCCCCCTCACCCTTGCAGGGAGCCCCCCTCGGGCGGCGGCGGCCCCCCGGCCCCCTCACCCTTGTAGTGCATGCGGAAGGCGGGCGGCGGCCCGGCCCGCAGCAGCCCCTGGAAGAGCTCGGCGACGCGGTCGTGGATGGCCTGGTAGCGGGCGGGCGGCGGCAGGGAGAAGCGGCGGATCTCGCGCGTCGCCTCA